CTATATGTTGGCGAAATTGTAGAATAAATGAATAAGAACCGCAATCTACTGATGGTCGTGGAATGAGTATAGACATGGTGGTTTGGCTATGCGCAAGCAAGGAGGTAAATAAGAACATTTTTTTCCTTTTTTCGTTTTTGCAATTTTCTTTAAGGAGCTTAGTGTCCGAAACATATAAAATAGAAAAAGGGAGCTAAAAGCGAATCTTTCTCAATTTCTACCACCCATAAGAGCCAACTCTATTAAGCTCAAAGCCAAAATGTGCCAAGGTTTTAAGAATTGCTTCACTGAGTGCTTAGGCCTTTGCCTTCCCGCTTGCTCTTCGTTTAGTATGCCAGGCTCGGTTCCTATCGCCATTGATGGGGTTCTTATGAGCAGCAACAGAGCATTGGTCAGGCCTTCCACTTTTTGCATTCATCTCCATTTGCATCCTCCTTCGTCTCATCCTGTTCTCAAGCCTCACTCCTTTGAGAGCTCGAGCCCTTCTCTCTATCTCCAGCGCTTGTGTGAAATTCCATATCCGGACTACGCCTTCTTCACCTCCACACACTATACGGTCACAGCCCACGTTTACAGAGAACAAGTTTGATCCAAACCCGTGCAGCATTCTATGTGGCGGTTCCACAGTTTTCGATGAAACCTTTTTGGATAAGGCCCGACGGTTAGTCTTCAACAACTTCCTGACGTCGATAAGTGCGAGTTTACCGTCACCAGATGCTGAGACAAGCCAGGGAAACTCAAATGAAAGAGAGTAGACAGGACCAGAGTGAGGCATCCATTGAGATATGAGTACAACGCTTGTTTCACTACCGTATCTTCTGATCTCAAACATTTTGATTCCTCCATCTTCTCCACCAGTAAACAGAAAATCCCCAGTATGGCTTCTTGCTAAAGAGTAAGTGTTGCCCTCATGAGCATTATGGATGATTGCCAGTGGAGTCTCGCTGATAATGTCCCATATATATACATCAGACCCTGACGTGCTGGCGATGCTGTTTTCATGAGGTGCAAGTCCCCAAACCCAATCACTATGCCTCAAGGTTTTGATACACTTCATTGAAGATCGATCCCATATACGAACAGACATGTCCCATGAACCGCTAAATATATTTTTCATGTCCAGGGCAAGAGATGTAATAGGGCCCTCATGTTTCCATAGTCGAAACTCGGTCTTCTCTTTCTGAAAACCTGTGAGGTCAAACAGGTTACGGAGACCGTCCACTGATTTCCAGCAATGTATAAATCCATCAGCACCACCAGCTACCAGCAACTTTGTATCAGCCGCAACTGCCCTGATTGTGCAACCAAGTGGTTTAGATGCTGCAATAGACAAGCCCTCTTCCATGTCCCACATCCGAACAATGGAATCATATCCAGAAGTGAAAATGAGCTTGGCAGAAGCTAAAAGGAAAACAGTCCGGACTGCTTCGGTGTGACCATACAGGGTATCGATACTATAACGCCCTAAAAATATCTTACTCCTAAATTCCCTCTCAACAAAGAGCTCTTTCCATGAATTCTCATCAGAAAATCCTAAACTTTTAGCCCCGAAAACAACGGGGAGTCCCCATCTCTCGCAGTAGAATTCCTTCCAAGCATGATGCTCCGATGCTAACTTATGCAGACTAGTTGAAACACAAGACACTAAACCTAACTCCTTTGGGTCAAGACAATTAAGAATCTCAGATATCAATGCCTGAGGCAAATCAATTATGGAACGTTGGTAAATAGTAGTAGACAAATCCTTGTCAGAGAGCGACGGTTTGTAGCCACTGGGCACTAAAGCTCCCTTCTTTTGCAGACAAGATAACTTCACACCTGGAATCTCAACAGACCCATTTCCTATTCTCAACTCCGAATGCAGAAGATCAGACTCAGCTCTTGGTTCGTACAAACTCTCTCTCTCTTGGCACTCAAATGCCATGAAAATCCCAGCAAGCGTCCGAAGCAGCTCCAAACACCAAACCGACAGAGCTAACCCCGAACGAACCTGACCGGATCTGAAAACCTGCAACCCCAGAGACGAATTCAGCTAGCCTTGAAGAAAAACGAGAAAACGATTCAATCCAACCAAGCAAAACTAAACAAAATTCAATTTTTCTGTCACAGGAACACCCGAAAATCGATTGCAATCAAACCCTATACGGAAGAGATTCGTAAATGTTGAGAACTAAACCGAAACTAAAGAACAACGAGAAAGCCCTAG